GGGCAGCGAGGCCTGGGGAGCCCGGGGGCAGGTGTGGGCAGCGAGGCCTGGGGAGCCCGGGGGCAAGCGGGGACGGCAGGGCCTGAGGAACCCGGGGGCAGGCGGGCCGGCGGGGCCTGGGGAGCCCGGGGGCCAGCGTGGGCAGTGGGTCCCGCTGTATGACCGTGTGCATCATCCTCACACAAGGACAGACCCAGAGAGTCTGACATTGGACAGACGTTGGAGAGTGGCCCAGGGCCCCGCGAGCGGGTGCTGCATGTGTTTGGCGTTTTGGGGAGAGAGAATCCCCGGCTTTTGTCTGATTCTCAGAGGCCTGTGACCCGCAAAAGGCTAAGAACCAGCAAGCTTTGGCTCAGAGAGAGCATTCTGGCGACAGAACTGCCTGAAGGCAGCTTTTGAGAGAGTGCTGGGCTGCTGCAGGCCCCGCCAGGGCCTCGTCAGGCGGGACACAACCCCCTAGGGACACAACTCCTCATACCGCGGCCCCCTCTGGGCCTCCGCGCCACCACTCCCACGTCTCCCCCAGCCCTGCCTTCATTTCCCCCTTGTCACTGTCCCCTGCTCCTCCGGTGACAACCCAGCGCCGTCACCGCCCAGCTGCCTGAGCCTGACCCGGGACTCTGCCCTGACTTCTCCCTCCCTCTGCCCTCGCCCCTCACTGTGCTCAGTCGCTGACCCCGAGACAGTGACCTCACTGCTAACAGCTCTCAACCTGAGTAACCTCCTCCGTCCCCTGAGCCACGACCTGCGTGCAGGTGACCACGACGGCCTCCTCAAGGGCCTCCCCACCTCTGACCTGCTGCTTCTCCACACGCCAGCCGGAGCGACCTGACCACAGCACATCCTTGGTTAACGCCCTTTGGTGGCAATGGCATATTAAAAAACCCACTGTCATCGAGTCAATTCCAACTCATAGCGACCCTACAGAACAGAGTAGAACTGCCCCCTAGGGTTTCCAAGGAGCACCTGGTGGATTCGAACTGCCAACCTTTTGGTGAGCAGCCGGAGGGAACCACTGGGCCCCCAGGGCTCCGACGGCATATTAACCAGTCCTAAAAAGAAATGAAGCATGCAATGCTGAGCAGAAGCAGCCAGACATAAAAGGTCTCACGCTATACAAACACCTTTATGTGAAGTGTCCACAACAGGCAAAGCCAGACAGACAGGAAGTAGATTAGTGGTTGCCTAAGGCTTCGAGGAAGGCCCGGTGGTGCAGTGGTTAAGAGCTCAGTTGCTCACCAAAAGGTCGGCAGTTCGAATCCACCAGCCGCTCCCTGGAAACCCTATGGGGCAGTTCTACTCTGTCCTGCAGGGTTGCTGTCAGTCAGAATTGACTCGATGGCAATGGTTTTTTTGGGTTTTTAAGGCTTAGAGAAAGGAGCCCTTGTGGCACAATGGTTAAGCGCTCAGCTGCTAACCAAAAGGTCAGCAGTTCAAACCCACCCAGTGGCTCCACAGGAGAAAAGGCCCGGCAGTCTGCTCCCGGAAAGATGACAGCCTAGGAAATCCCATGGGGCAGTTCTACTCTGTCACACGGGGGCACTAGGAGTTGGAATTGACTTGTGACAACACAGGGGCTTGGAGGCAGCAGGGAATGGGGAGTGACTGCCAATGGGCATAGGGTTACTTTTAGGGATGATGGAATGTTCTGGAACTAGCTAGTGGTGATGGCTGTACAACTTTCTGATTATATAAAAACCACTGAAACGTTCACTTTAAAAGGATGAATTTTATCTCAATTAAGAAAGAAAAACCCTCTGGTGACTCGGTGCTACCTGAGGGTGGGGTCCATCTCACTGCAAGACACTGGGGCCCCTCCCTGACTGGCTGACCCCCTGCCTGGCCCCTCTTGCTGTGTGGTCCAGCCACTCTAAGCTCCATGTCCTTCTTGGAACATGGAGTGCTGACCTGGCTGTGCCTGCAGCCTGGGATACTCTTCCCCAGCCTTTTCTACCTCCTCTTGGCCTCGCTGCTGATGTGCTTTCTGGGGGAGCCGTCCCTGGTTGCCCCTCCCCGTAACCACCAGGACAGCACAAAGCCCACTTCCCTGCCTGCAACACCGGCCTGTGTCCCGTCTGTAGGTGCAGGGCCTTGGCCATCTTGCCTCCTGGGGCACCACGCAGCTGGGCCACACACAGGCCAATGCCAGCTGCAGCTGAGGTGAGACCACGCCCCCGCCAATGCCGCTCACCTCCAGATGGTGCAGGTGAAATGCTGATGGTCCTCGCTGGTCCCCAGGCTCATCTGCCACTGCTGGAGAGGGAAGAAAAGCATGGGTCAGTCCAGGACACAGCCTTGCCACGTCAGGCTGTCTCGGCGAGTTTACAGGTTATTTCTAATTCTCCAAGGTGAGCAAACTGTTTTATCTGCTGTGGCTGGGGTTAGCCACCTGTGCTCAGGCCCGGCGCACCAAATCCCCCAACACACAATCCAAAACACACTATGCCAAGAAAAAAAATAAAATAATCCAGTTGTCTTTGAGTTGGTGCTGACCCCGTGTGTGCAGAGTAGAACTGCTCCACAGGATTTTCAAGGCTGTGACCTTTCAGAAGCAGATCACCAGGACTTTCTTCTGGGGTTAGCAGTTAAGCAGTGAACAATTTACACCACCCGGGGACTCTTCATAACACCAGATTGTTCTAATTTTCATGGCCTCCAAAAACCCAGCCAAACAGTCATAGGAAACCTACCGCTATGTTCCACCAGCTGGCCTGCGGCATCTTTGGGTTTTGCTAGTAAAGCAGGGTTGACAGTAACCTCCCAGGAGTAATAATGGACGCAAATGACTGGTAGTCTGAGTACAACGTCAGAGCTTCTTAAGAGAAACATGGCCATCTTTATGCTAATTATAATGGGAGTCAATGGTCACTTAGATGCGTTTACCTTCAAGCACAAATGTGGGGACCAATTATACTTGTGTGACAAGGGACTCAGCATCCTGCCTCCCCCTCCATGTAAAAACACCTGTCCATGACTCCCAACAAACCTGTCTGGGAAGAAGTACAGCCATTATGTTCCTTAGAAGCAAGGATGGTGAGACTTTGTCTCATGTACCTTGGACATGTTATCAAGAGGGACCAGTCCCTGGAGAAGGACATCATGCCTGGTAAAGTAGAGGGTCAGCAAAAAAGAGGAAGACCCTCGACAAGATGGATTGACACAGTGACTGCAACAAGGGGCTCAAGCATAACAAGGATTGTGAGGATGGTATAGGACCGGGCAGTGTTTCGTTCTGTTGTACACTGGGTCGCTATGAGTCGGAACTGACTCAACCTCAGCTAACAACAACATCATGGCTCCGAGGCCTTTGAGCATCCAGAAACAGTTTCATCCTATGAAATACATCTGGGACCATTTTCTAGAGCTCTTACAAAGTTCCTGAAAATGAGGCAAACATTTAAACATTTTTTAGAAATGTATGTTCAAAGCAGGGACTCAAACAGACATTTGTGTACCAATGTTCACTGCAGCACTGTTCACAAGAGCCAAAAGGTAGAAACAACCCAAGTGTCCATCAACAGATGATGGATAAACACAATGTGGTCCATCCACATAATGGAATATTATTCAGCCAGAAAAAGCAATGAAATTCTGGTACATGCTACAACCTGAAAACACGATGCTAAGCAAAAAAAGGCAGACACAAAAGGACAAATACTGTATGACCCCATTTGTATCAAATAAGTGTATAGAGCAAGACCACCACTCATAGGTCAGTTTGTCGTACTGGTGGCCTGTGTGTTGCTATGATGCTGGAAGCAATGCCACCAGTATTTCAAATGCCAGTAGGGCCCCAGCAGTCCCACTCCTAGGTATATAAGAAATAAGAACTGTGACATGAATAGACATACGCACACCCATGTTCACTGCAGCATTATTCACAATAGTAAAAAGATGAAACAACCTAAGTGCCCATCAACAGATGACTGACTCAACAAACTATGGTACATACACACAATGGAATACTACGCAACGTTAAAGAATAATGGCGAATCCGCAAAACATCTCACAGATGAACTTGGAGGGCATTATGCTGAGTGAAATAAGTCAATCACAAAAGGACAAATATTGTATGAAACCACTATTATAAAGAAACAAGAAAAGATTTACACACAGGATAAAAAAAAAAAAAACAAAAAACTTTATTTGATGGTTACCAGGGATGAGGGGGAGGCAAAATTATCAAATAGATAGAACACACGTGTTAATTTTGATGATGGGAAAGGCAATATGGGGAAAGTCAGAGAAACATGACCAAGGCATGGGTGGACACTGAGAGGAACGCCAGAACAAAGGGTAACAACAGTAATTTCTATAGCACAGACAACAACAGTATTAACAAACACTAATTTGCAAAGCAGCCCTGGAGGCACAGCGGTTCAGCATTTGGCGGCTAACTGAAAGGTTGGTGGTTCAAATCCACCAGCCACTGTGCAGGAGAAAGATGTGGCAGTCTGCTTCAGTAAACATCTACAGCCTTGGAAACCCTGTGGGGCAGTTCTGCTCTGTGCTATGAGTTGGCATGGACTTGACGGCAACGGTCTTTTTTTTTTTTTTTTGATTTGCGAATGGACACATAGTTAGATAGGTATGACAAGAGGTGTGGGAGGGTGTAAAGGAACACACGCACCTGGTGGTGAATATTACTCCATACATAACTGTAGGTGCTGCCTATATATTAATCTAGATAACAGAGCACACAAGGGCCACAGTCAGGGCAACTTCTTAGACATAAAAAAACACCTCGTGGGACGAAGTTCCTAGGCTCGAAGGTGAAGAATCATAGACTCAGGGGACAGCTACGTCAACTGGCACAACATAGTTCATAAAGACAGTGTTCTGCATCCTGTTTTGGTGAGTAGCATCTAAGGTCTTAAAAGCTCGTGTGGCCATCTAAGATACAACTATTGGTCTCTTACTGTCTGTAGCAAAATAGAATTAAGAAAACCAAAGACCCAAAGGAGCAATTAGTCCAAAGGAATAACTGACCACATGAACCACGGCCTACACAATCCTGAGACCAGGAGAACTAGGTGGTGCCCAGCTGACTGGGACCACAACAGGGGGTCCCGGACAGAGCTGGAAAAAAACTGCAGAACAAAAAATCAAATTCACAAAAAAGTCCAGACTTACTGGTCTAGAGGAGGCCCTGAGACTATGGTGCTAGGACACCCTTCTGAACTGGAACTGAAGCCGTTCCTGGAGATACTCATCAGCCAAACCATAGACAGGCCCATGAAATAAACATCATCACCCGAGAGGTACAGGTTCCTTAGAACAATCTATTACATGAGATCAAACGGGCAACATTTGACAAAAAGCAAAGCTGAAAAGGCAGGAAGGGGTAGCAATACAGGATGAAAGGAAACAGGGAACCTAGGACGGAAACGGGGGGAGGACAGGCTCATTGTGGGGAATGAAACCAACGTCATGGAACAATTAGTGTACAAGCTATTGAATGGGAAACTAATTTGCTATGTAAGCTTCTACCTAATGCACAATAAAAAATTTGAAAAAAAAATTAATCACAGAGTCTATTTAGGAAATTGTTGAGCTATTACAGTTCCTGACTAACCAATGCAAATAGATGTCCACATCCTAATCAGAATAAAACTCAAATTTGCTTCCAAAAAAAAAAAAAAAATTACCAGCAGGGTAACCCATGGTGGAGAGATTTCAGTGAAGCTTCCAGCCTAAGACAGACTAGGAAGAAAGACCTCGCAAACTACTTCTAAAAAAACTGGTCAGTGAAAACCTTATGAATAGCAGGGGAACACTGTCTGATATAGTGCCGGAAGATGAGCCCCTCAGGTTGGAAGGCACTCCAGATATGACTGGGGAATAGCTTCCTCTTCAAAGCAGAGTCAACCTTAATGACACGGATGGAGTCAAGCTTTTGGGACCTTCATTTGCTGATGTGGCATGACTCAAAATGAGAAGAAACTGCTGCAAACATCCATTAATAATCGCAATGTGGAATACATGAAGTATGAATCTAGGAAAACTTGACGTCATCAAAAATGAAATGGAATGCATAAAGATCAATATCTTAGGTGTTAGTGAGCTGAAATAAACTGGTATTAGCCATTTTGAATTGGACATTCATATGGTCTACCACGCCGGGAATGACAAACTGAAAAGGAACAGCACCGCATTCATCATCAAAAAGAGCATCTGAAGATCTATTCTGAAGTACAAAACTGTCAGTGATAGGATACTATCCATATGCCTACCAGGAAGACCGGAGCCCTGGTGGCTCAGTGGTTAAGAGCTATGGTTGCTAACCAAAAGGTTGGCAGTTCGAATCCAACAGCCGCTCCTTGGAAACCCATGGGGCAGGTCTACTCTGTCCTATAGGGTCACTATGAGTCAGAACTGACTCGACAGCAATGGATTGCAAGGAAGACCAGTTAATATAACTATTATTCAAATTTATGCACAAACTACCAATGCCAAAGACGAAGAAATTGAAGATCTTTACCAACTTCTGCAGTCTCAAATTGATCAAATATGAAATCAAGATGCAATGTTAATTAATGGTGATTGGAATGCAAAAGTTGGAAACAAAGAAGAAGGATCAGTAGTTGGAAAATACGGCCTTGGTGATAGAAATGATGCCGGAGATCCCGTGACAGAATTTTGTAAGACCAATGACTTAGTCACTGCAACCACATTTTTTCAACAAAGTAAATGGTGACTATATATGTGGACCTCACTGGATGGAACACATAGGAATCAAATCGACTGTATCTGTGGAAAGAGATGATGGAAAAGCTCAATATTATCAGTCAGAACAAGGCCAGGGGCCGATTGCAGAACAGACCATCAATTGCTGACATGCAAGTTCAAGTTGAAGCAGAAGCAAATTAAAACAAGTTTATGAGAGCCAAAGTATGACCCTGAGTATATCCCACCTGAATTTGGAGACCATCTCAAGAACAGATTTGACGCACTGAACGCTAGTAACTGAAGACCAGATGAGCTACAAGGACATCATACAGGAAGAAAGCAAAAGGTCATTAAAAAGACAGGAAAGAAAGAACAGACCAAAATGGATGTCAGAAGAGACTCTGAAACTTACTCGTGAACATCAAGTAGCTAAAGCGTAAGGAAGAAATGATGACGTAAAAGAGCTGAACAGAAGATTTTAAAGAGTGGCTCGGGAAGACAAAGTAAAGTATTATAATGACATGTGCAAAGACCTGGAGTTAGAAAACCAAAAAGGAATAACATGCTCTGCATTTCTCAAGGTGAAAGAACTGAAGAAAAAATTCAAGCCTCAAGTTGCAATACTGAAGGATTCTATGGGGAAAATGTTAATGACTCAGGAAGCATCAAAAAAAAGATGGAAGGAATACCGAGTCACTATACCAAAAAGAGTTGGTCGATGTTCAGTTATTTCAGGAGGGGGCATATGATCAGGAACCAATGGTACTGAAGGAAGAGGTCCAGGCTGCACTGAAGGCATTGGGGAAAACAAGGCTCCGGGAATTGATGGAATACAATTAAGATGTTTCAGCAAATGGATGCAGCGCTGGAGGTGCTCACTCGTCTATGCCAAGAAATTTGGAAGACAGCTACCTGGCCAATCGACTGGAAGAGATCCACAGTTGTGCCCATTCCAAAGGGAGGTGGTCTAACAGAATGCGGAAACTATTGAATAATATCTTTAATATCACATGCACGTAAAATTTTGTTGAAGATAATTCAAGAACGGTTGTAGCAGTATATTGACAGGGAGCTGCCAGAAATTCAAGCCAGATTCAGAAGAGGATGTGGAATGAGGGCTATCACTGCTGATGTCAGATGCATCTTGGCTGAAAGCAGAGAATACCGGAAAGATGTTTACCTGTGTCTGACTGACTATGCAAAGGCATTCAACTGTGTGGATCATAATAAATTATGGATAACACTGTGAAGAATGGGAATTCCAGAACACTTAATTGTGCTCGTGAGCAACGTGTACATAGACCAAGAGGCAGTCATTTGAACAGAACAAGGGGATACTGTGTGGTTTAGAGTCAGGAAAAGTATGCATCAAGGTTGTATCCTTTCATAATACTTATTCAATCTGTATGCTGAGCAAATAATCGGAGAAGCTGGACTATACCAAGAACTCGGCATCGTGACTGGAGGAAGACTCATTAACAACCTGTGTTATGCAGATAACACAACCTTACTTGCTGAAAGTGAAGAGAACTTGAAGCACTTACTGATGAAGGTCAAAGACTACAGCCTTCAGTATGGATTACACCTCAACATAAAGAAAACAAAAATCCTCACAACTTGACCAATAAGCAACATCATGATAAGTGGAGAA